CCTTCTGGAACACGTGTGTAGATACCGATCACGCACTGGTCTGAACGGACGTAGGAAACAGCGAGCGGTAAACCCATCACGTCCCCAGCTCGACCAGGGAACTAAGTCCCTATTTGAGGAAGAACTAGCTAAACACATATCTGAGTTTGACAGCTGCGCTCACCCTGAAGAAGTCTGGAAGAATATTCAGTCAGCCATAGATACAGCTGTAAAAGCTGTGAATAAGGTAAATCCAAAGGTGAGTAAAAACCATTGGATTTCGACTGCCTCATCCGAACTGATAGATGCTAGAAGACTTATTCCGGCGAGCTCCGAATTCAATGGGGAGCGAAAGCTGCACAAAAGGAAACTTACGAAAAGTCTCCGCAAGGACCGTGAACAGTGGTGGTTGACTAAGGCGAAAGAGATGGAAAAAGCATCGGCGATAGGCAACACCAGACAACTATTCAGGCTTATCAGGGAAACAGGTGGTAAAAAACAAATGATAAGCGAAACAATCTCCGAGAAAAATGGCACCATAATTAGCTCCCAGGATAGACGTCTGGAGCGCTGGAAAGAACACTATGAGGAGCAGTTTAATTGGCCCACAGCCACACTTAACCTACCGGACATCCAACACCTCCCTGAATGGGAGATAGACACAGGTCCTCCGTCCTTAACCGAGGTTACTAAAGCTGTCACTAATCTGAAGCTAGGCAAAGCAGCGGGACCTGATTTATTGACTCCAGAGGTATTTAAGTACGGAGGCGACAGTTTACTGTCTGGGCTAACTGAGGTTCTAGGCAGCGTCTGGGAATCAGAGGAAGTCCCATCGGGTTGGTGTAAGTCACTGATCATCCCGATATACAAGAAGGGAGACAAGTCGTCTTGTGATAATCACAGAGGGATTAGCTTGACTAATATAGTATCTAAAATCCTAGGCTCAATAATACTGCGTAGATTAAGTGGCGCTCGGGAGACACAAACACGAGAAAACCAGGCAGGTTTTAGGCCAGGTAGAGGGTGTATTGATCACATCTTCACCCTTCGACAGATTCTAGAACATAGGCATTCCTACCGGCGTCCGACAATCATTATATTTCTTGACCTAAAGGCGGCATTCGATTCCGTCGACCGGGAGGTTCTCTGGCGACGCTTGGCTGTAAAGGGAATGCCGAGAAAATACATTGCACTGATTAAGGCACTCTACTCGTACTCATGCAGCCAGGTGAGGGCTTATGGCGAGTTGTCATCTGAAGTGGTGACGACTAGTGGCGTCCGTCAAGGATGCCCATTATCCCCATTCCTATTCAATTTCATCATAGATGTACTAATGGACTTAACCCTAACTCACTTCAGCGACTCAGGGATTGACTTGCTACCAGGGAAGAATCTCGTTGACTTAGAATATGCAGACGATATAGTCCTTCTAGGCGAGGACTCTGACAAAATGCAGAGTCTACTGAACACCCTGAGCAACAATCTCCGCATGTTTGGCATGCGATTCGCCCCTATAAAATGTAAGATGATGCTGCAGGATTGGACTTCATCGACCCCTAGATTAGAAATAGGAAGTGAAGTGGTAGAGCACGTTGACCGCTTCACTTACTTGGGAAGTACCATCAGCCCCAACGGGTTGATCTCCGACGAAATTTCAGCACGAATACAGAGGGCTAGGTTCGCATTCGCCAGTTTTCGCCGTCTCTGGCGTAGACGCGATATCCGACTATCGACCAAAGGGCGTGTGTACTGCTCAACAGTCCGCTCCGTCCTCCTTTATGGCTGTGAGACCTGGCCATTGAGAGCAGAAGACATGAAAAGATTAGCTGTCTTCGATCATAGGTGTCTGCGTTCTATCTCCCGTGTGAAGTGGAATAATAAGGTGAGCAATATTGAGGTTAGGCACTGGTCGAGTGCTAGGTAAGGCGGGGAAATCAATCGACGAGACTGTGAAATTACTTCGACTGAGATGGTTAGGACATGTGCTACGAATGCCTAGTCATCGCCTTCCTCGACGGGCAATGTTAGCTGATATAGGGTCAGGCTGGAAAAGAGCTAGCGGCGGTCAAACCAAAACATGGCACCAATCAATGAAATCCACAACAGTTAATCTAAGCCACGTAGGAAGATGTAGACTTCCTGGTTGGGGCCCTCGGGATGGTAAAATCCAATGGTTGGAAACAATTGGTGACATGGCTCAAAATCGTTCTCAGTGGCGCAGATGCATCCACTCCTTGTGACTTATGACTTCCAATTAAACTTTTGTTCTCCGTTATTACTATTCCTTTGTCTCACACCTCTGTTTACTGTCTATATTATGCATTTCTTCTACTTTCTTCTCTTGCTTTGCGTGCTACATAGATTGTGGCGACTTGAACTGCCGCACATATGTGCAAAGTTCTATGTCGAAAACCGACCGACCGACCGACCGAGTGTTAGGTAAGGAGAGTAAGTTAATCGATTAGGTTATGAGGCTACCTCGCTGAGGATCGCCAGGACACCGATTTTCTTCGCTCAGCAGTATTAAGTGACATCGGATTAAGTTGGAAAAGAGTTAAAAGTAGTCAAATCAAAACGTGAAATCAACCCACAAAATTTGTGACAGTTTGTTTGGGCCGCATAGCGAAGTGTAGATCGATTGGTCAGCATCGTCGGTATGGTAAGATCCAATAACTTGAGACTTTTGGTGATATGGCTCGAAATCATTCACAATAACATATACATTTACTCTTTGTACTGTCTCGAATACACTAAGTCTTCATGTTTTTCCATGTTACTACTCTTTCTTCTGTACATTTCTGCCGATTATATATTGCTAAAGTTTTTCTCCTCTTAACCTTTGTGTGCTATATGGAGTGAGGCAATTTGAACTGCTGCATTTCTGAGCAAATCTCTACACTGAAACTTAGTCAGTCGGTCAGATTATGACCCCATAATATGAGCTATGGTATTGGAAAATTACAATTTCGGTTACGAACTAACTTTAATCAGAGGACCAGGGAGTACTGGACAGTTGTGTCGTCCTAGTTTGGGACTCTTCTGTAGGACACATATATAACTCCACCAGGAGTCAAACGTAGAACCTCTAGGTTACAAGGCAGTTCTACTGAACCACTGAGTTATTCGGACGGAATCCAATAGTCCATGAATTGTAACTTCGGCCAGTACTGGTGGATAAAGAATTGTACATGGTTCGCAGATGCGGAATTGTGACTGTTTACAGTCTTGGTGTGCACTTCACCTACAAAGGACGCAGTAGCCAATTGTTGTTACCATTGTCTTACAAACGGCAAATGTGGTTGGTTGTCAGTTGTTTTTAAATAGATTTTCCATTGTGGGTCAAATTTATTTTGATAAAATCTCACGGTGTTATACAGTAATATTTACTGATGATCACGTTTCGATTACAATTTATCATTGCTCATAATCGTATCAAGTTATTCACAGAACTTTCTGACTTCATTTGTATAGTTCCATTATTTTTCATCTCTTAATTTGATTGGCAGTAATATTTTTCAGAATGTATCTCTAGCTTCATCATCCATATGAACTCACTAGTCAAGTGAATAAAATTCATATTTGAATCGGAAAATGAACAAGGAGAATTAGCTATGAAGTTAGATCGTAAAATAAAACCAACAAAAGAAGGTGAACTGCACACTAGCGTTTATAAAAAGTCAACGTATTCTGCTAGTAGATACTTACACTTCAATACACCTCATCTGTTATCTGTCTGTGAAGGCAGGCTTAGTTGTAAAGTGCCTAACAAACCGAGCAGTAGCACTAAGTATTACAACAAAAAACCTAAACGATGAAATGAAATAAATAGAAGAATAGCTGGTTGGTATCAAATAACTATGCTATAAAATTCATAGAAAGATCAAAAAAGGTCAAAAGCAAAATAAAAATAATGGTGAAACTAATAATAATAACACAAATAAGAATATAAGCCATCTACAGTAGTTTTACCATAAAAGGAGGGGACATCTGAGACCCTACGTAGGATTCTTAATAAAGCAGGAATTAGGTTGGCATGTAAACCTACAATCCCACTCAGAGAGGACAAAATAATATAATTTATAAAATACCTTGCAATGACTGTGAGTTAAGTCAACTACATAGGTCCAACCAGTAGATCAGGAGTAGTGAAATTATCAGAACATAAGAATTTAACTAAGATTAGAATGATTAAACCCACGAAGACACATGAGTAATTTAAAAAAAGCTCATCAATTGCACTGCATGCATTAACGCACAACCACACAATAGGATGATGGGAGAGGGTTAAAATTCTAAAAAGTAATATAGATAGGTGAAGAGAGTTTATTAAATCTTTGTTCAGAGAATCTACACCCAACACATGCAGTAAGAATTACTCATCACAAATACCGAAAATTTGGGAAATACTCCTACCAATCAAGTCAAGAGATGAGAAATAATTCAATTATATAAACGAAATTAAAAAATTTTTGTGAGCATTGCCTTGAAATACCTATGAGCAGTAATAAATTGTGCTCGGAACGTGATCATTAATAAATGTTACTGTATAACAGCAGTGTGCGACTTTATCAAAATAAATTTTACTTACAATGGAATTATACTCTATACCGCCACAGTGCACAAATTCTATTCTTATATAAATAGACGTATTTATAGGAATAACATACCATTTCCGTATTAGTTTGTTTATTAGATGTATCACATGATGAAACAGTATTATTTACTGAATGACGTTTCGAACAAAATTTATTTATTGTTCATAATCATATGAATTATAATCACACGACTTCGAAACTTGAGTTTTATAGTTTTCTTTGTCCTCTCCTATTTGTCGTCGGGGTGTTCGAAACGTCATCCAGTAAATAATAATACTGTTTCACTGTGTTATACATCTAATAAAAAAACTAATATGGAATTACTTACTACCACAGTGCCAAAGTTTTACGCATATATTAACGTGCCATTTCATTTTTTCAAATCTAAATAATCGTCTTCCCCCTCCTCCTTCTCATTTCACACAGAGAAATGTACTTCAGAGAAAAATACACAAGATAATTGGGATCTAATCTTAGAAGTGTGTGAAAATTACGCCAGCAAAGAGTAGGTTATATTGCTGTTTTTGTTGTTTTGACAATCTTTTTAAATTCCTTACAGTCCAAAAACTTGTGTGAAAACTATATGTAAACGAATGTTTCATAAAAATCCAAATGTATCTCTCCGTGCGATAACAGTAAGTCATGGCGTTATTCTTACTAGTTAAGCTTATCTTCACTATTTTTTTTTTATTAGTTGTTAGATGCATGCAGTCAAAACTGTGGTAAAACCTTTAATCGTGAACTTGCTTCAAAAGATTTCTGTCAAACGATAAAAAAGAATTTCTCGGTAACTATACAATATATTCCTATTTTAAACTAACTGTTCATCACAGAGTTTACAACGCATTCCAAGTCTCAAATTGATTGAAATATTTAAACGATGGGCGGATGAGTTTAAAAGTGACTCAGAATTAGCGTATGTTTATGCCTATCTACTCACATATATCATTATTATTATTATTTTCAGTCTAGCAGCTAGCTTTTACAATTGGGTTAATAATGAATACGTGGATCTTGTGAAGCAAGTGATGGAAGAAAAACAGGTCAGTGTGTGTGTGTGTGTGGAGGAATTGTTTATTTTTTGGTATATATGGTATCCTCTTCTTTTTGTTTTGTTTACTTTTTTGTTTCGTTACCATCTATCTTACTTAACGATCTATTCTGAATTTCGGATAAATACATGCAGGTAAGGCACATTTAATAATAGATGTCCGCCTTGTGTTGGCTGACGAGCGTCCTCTTTAAACGACTGGATACAGCCGAGGGTAGAAAGCCTTTTAAAGCCACGTCGCCAACTTCATATAAGAGCTTTTAACGTCAGTACCCTCTGCCAAATCGGACAACAGGCATCACATCTAGAGCCATGGATGTATGTTGTGTTTCGGAGACACGCATACAAGACCCGAGTGTGGGCATTCACTTGACCTCACCCGGTCAGCAAGCTGAATCTGCAAAATTCACTATAAGGGTGTCAGGAGACCCCTTAGCTAGCTCACGAGGACTCTCAGGTGTAGGGATAGCACTGAGTTGTAGGGTGGAAAATTCACTTCTTGACTGGATCCCGGTAGATAATCGTATGTGTGCGGTCCGTCTGAGTGGATCCGTTAAAAGAATGAAAGACGGCACTACCTGTCGTTGCCTTTTCGTAGTCTCCGCTTACGCCCCAACAGACTGCAGTTCGGATGAATTAAAAGATAACTTCTACCTGAAACTGTCTAATTTGTTGCAAAAAGCAAAACGTTCAGACATAGTTGTTTTAGCAGGCGACTTCAATGCCCAAGTAGGGAAGTTGTGCCAGACTGAGAAGTATGTAGGTGGTACGTATGGAGTTCCCTGCCGACGAACCGACAACGGTGATCGTCTTACACAGTTTTGCTCAGATAATCATCTGTTCCTAGTCAGCACTAACTTTAGGCACAAAGAGAGACATTGTGTAACCAGAAAACAATTGGTGACATGACTCAAAATCATTCTCAATGGCTGGTGCAGATGCATCCACTCCTTGTGACTTATGATTTCCAATGAAACTGTTTTGTTCTTTGCTATTACTATTCCTTTGTCTCACACCTCCGTTTACTGTCTATATTATTATGCATTTCTTCTACTTTCTTCTCTTGGTTTGTGTGCTACATGGAGTGTGGCGACTTGAACTGCCGCACATCGGTGCAAAGTTCTATGTCGAAAACAGACAGACAGACAGAGTGTGGGGGGCAGGTGTACTTTGGTCTTCCTCACGAAATGCTTTCATGTGGCCATGTGTTCATGTCCTCTGCCAGGTAGGTCCTATCGACTGTATTCACATGGCTAGGGTGTTTCTCATGAAAGTGAAATGGTGAATCCTAACGTTTGATACTTACAACCTGATTGGACTGGTGGAAATTCAAGTTTACCTACAGCCGGGAGCGTGGGTGGATGGGTGGGCGGTGATGGAAAACCTTGATTTCAAACATGGACTCTGGAATCCGAAAGGATCGAATGACGTATGATGAACCTGATTTGGCTACTGTCTCAGCCAATGAGAACGCTGCTCCATTCCCTTATAGATCAGACTTCAAGTTGAAGGCTCGTGGGGGATAGGTTGAGACAACTACCTGCTTCGGTCTGGACGTCCAGTCAGTATCCCAGCCTTTGTAAACACTATAAGAATATTTGTGTAGTTCATCTCTTTGTATCCATAACCCACCAATGTTTATTTCCAAACACTTCGATAGAAAGCCTCCTATCTCTTCGATTGCATTGTTCGCTTGACTAATAGAATTCGGTCAGCACTAAGGACTAAATAACACAATAGTGGTTACTTCCACAACGAAAACTATACTTGTAGTATATGATGGAGAAGATTTGTAGCTCAGGTGGATGATTCTGATGTAGTTGTGTTCTCTGAGGTGGATGGTTTATTCTTCCAAAGCTTTCATTGCCCTACTAGGCAACAACTTCAGCGCATACTTCAATTTGATAAAGTGAGCTTTTAGATTTCTCTCCTGGTCAAAGTTCAGGTTAAGGAAACAATCAGTACCAATAAAAAGTAGTCTAGAGCTTGTGAAAACACACGAAAACAACTAATCACGTTCAAGATCACCCACCATGGGAGATGACTTATGAACTCATGGAGAAATCTAAAAGCTCACTTCATCGAATTGAAGTATATGCACTGAAGATGTTGTCTAGTAGGGTGGGGGGCAATGAAAGCTTCTCAAATAAACCATCCAGCTAGCTCAGAGAACACAACTACATCAAAATACCTGTAGTATCTTTAAATTAGCAACACCAGTGTTCAACAGGAGGAACACTGGTGTTTCTCTTGAGATGGCTAGATAACACGTTTTGATGATATTAGATGGTTGGAGGCAATCGGCCACAGGAAGCCTTGGACCTAGGTTTCGTGCTAGTTGGCACTCATCAGCAAGGCGTATCTGCAACCTTGAAGGAACTCATGTCCCAACTAGCACGAAACCCGGGTCTAAGGCTTCCTACCGATTGCCCCCAACTATCTAATATCATCAAATCAATGTGCAACGTGATGGCGAGCTACCTAGAATCCTTGGCGGTCACATTGCAAACCTGACTGATAGAATTCAGTCTGCACCAAAGAAAGGACTAGACACGTCACACTGGTTACCAGTGTCCAATCAAAATAGACAACACGTTTTCTGCATGCTGAGCCCCACTGCCTTTCCGTAGCGAGCAATGTGCTAACTAACCTAGAATTAGTTTGGAAAAAGAGTAAGGGGTAATCAAATCAAACCAAACGATGACATCAATCTATGAAGTCTTCTATGGTTATTTTCAGTCACAATATAGGTTGGCGTAGAATCTTGTTGTGGGTGGTCCCCGGGACGCTAAGAACCAATGGCGTCTGGAGGCTATTGATGAAATGATTCAGACTCCTCACAGGGCGTAAATACATTCAGTCTTCGTAATCTTCCATATCAGTTAAACTCCATTGTTCTTTCTTCCTCAGATTTATGCTCATTGTCGTTCTTTTGTCTTTATTTGTGTGCATTTCATTTATTTTTTAGATAGCTAAACACGGTCAATCACGTCAACTTGTTGCTCAGTTACAAGCGAAAGAGGAAAAAGACTTAGCTGAAGGTAAGATTTATTATATGAACACATTTTCCTAAACACTACACTATCTCATTACACAAAACTTTGACATGTGTGTTGCATGTATACATACTCTGTAGGCTTTTGTATGTTAAATTTTTGTTTCTAAAGTTCGATGTCATTTTAGGCACAATGAAGTATTGCATGTATGATTATTATTGATTTCTTACGTCCCAAGCTGTGTACACATCCCCATTCTATTCCACACGATTCTCTGCCATCACTTACAGCTGGCTCCACGACTGCGCACAAGCTTTCATTTCTTTCTCTTATCGTTTTCATCGACGGTGATAGATATATCATCCGCGCATCCCCGGCTCTCGTTACCTTTGAACCATTTGACCGTTGATTAGAGGGTATTTTTTGAACTCAGTGTGTGTACAGCATGAAGCGTTTTTAGTAGGTAGGTAAGTAAATGGACCAGGTGGAGAACCCAATTACTACTCCATTTTTCTGTCGGTATATTTGAATATTGAATAATAAAAAAATGGACATCGATTCAAACAACCTGAATGTTGGTATATCGAATAAGTATATTAACTGGAACTATGGCCAAGTTAAACTTTAAGCACCACTAACTTCCAATGGAGTGCGACCACACCATTGACCTTGGATGATTCATTGAGTCTCATCCATGTGACTTGATTCGAGTTAAATACCTGCTCTGACGCAGTTGCGTTTGCACCTTGGTGAGCATCAAGTCTTCCAGTATTGCTTAGATGCGGGGTTGATTGATTAGAAAAATGTGGTGACTATAAAAAGCTTCAGCAGGTCTCTTGATCGACATGTGCACCGTTGTGCAATTTGTTTCAGACGAGTTAGTGTAAGGGAAGGTAAGCTAATGACTATACTGTTTCATAGGAACATTTTTTGCCAGATCCACGATTTTGTATATTTGTAATTACTGGGTTTTAAAACAGGCTGTGAGGGGTGCAGCTGCTGAAACAGTGGTACCAGCACTGTAGGGATATCGCATCCTGGAAAATGGAGAGGCTTACTTCGATATTGGGAGGGGAAGGTATCGTTGTACATGTAGATGAAACTGTCTTATTAAAAAAAATGCAACCGTGGTCGAGAACGAGCAGACAATGTTTGGGTGATCGGCTTATATGGCAGCTCCCTACAGAAAGCATTAGTTGAATTATTATTATTATTGTTCCCTTGGGTTCCTAGTGTAACAAAGGGCTTCAACTGCACGTCTCCACTTGTTTCTGTCCTCTGCTGTACTTTCCACCTGCATCCATGTTAGTCCATACTGTTTCAGCTCCTCTTCACACGATCTCCTCCATGTCACCCTTGGACGTCCCACTCGTCGCTTCCCTTTCGGGTTCCACTTGAGTGATGGCCTGACGCGCGATGTCACCCAGCGGCCTCCTCAGCGAGTGAGTGTTCAATCCATCTCCACTTTCTCCTGCATATTTGTTGGGCGATTGGTTCTTGTTTTGTTTATTCTCATAGTTTCTTGTTGGTGATTCTTTCCGGCCATCTCACCTTCAGTATAGAGCGAAGACAGTTGTCGATAAAGGTCTGCAACCTGTTGGAAATACTCTTTGTGACCCGCCTAGTTTCTGATCCGTATAGAAGAACTGACTGACTTGACGTTTGTATTGAAAATCCGAATTTTGTTGTTGATGCAGGCTGAGTGACGAAGATTTCCAGATTGGTTTCAGGTTGATGATTGTGTTTTTCGCCTTCCCAATTCTCGATTTGACATCCTTGTCCGTTCCTCCTGTAGTTGAGACAATGTTCCCTGGATAAGTGAATGAACTAACCTCTTTCAAATCCCTCCCGTTGATGGTGATTGGCGCTGGATGTTGCTGCTGCTGTTGTTGTTGTTGGTTGGTTGGTTATTTTCATAACCTCCGTCTTGTCTATGTTCACCTGGAGTCCTGTCTTTGCTGCTTCTTCGACCAGTTTGTCGGTTTTCGCTTGTAAGTCTTCGATTTTGTGTGACATCAAACATAAATCACCTGCGAAATCCAGGTCTTCCAGATTCTTCACGTCGGTCCAGGATATCCCTGTCTTCTCGTTTCCCACTGTCTGACGGATAATCCAGTCCACCACAATTGGTAGACAGAAAGTCAGCTACCTTAGTACCTCTCTACAGAAAGTATTCCTCGAGAAGATAGCAGATAGAAAATCAAGTACTTTAATACCTACTATCACTCGACCGGGGAAACAGCGATCGATAATACACACCGATGAGTGGAAAGGTTATAACTCCCTATTATCCCTTGGATGTATTCATCACAGAGTGAACCATTCTAATGATTTTGTCGATCCCATTACAGGGACACAAACCAATTCTATCGAAGTCTTTTGGGAAAGATTAAAAAACAGGACTAGGGCTAATAATGGATCTCAAAAGGATGTCATTCATAGTAAGAATGTGGTGTGTAACTTTTCAATTGATAGTCCTATGCTAAACTGGTATATCATAGTGGTTTAATTAGTATGCAATTTAATAAACCTACTTACTATTTACATATTTGTATTTATTTGACCTCTTCCTTTGACTGACTGACTAGCTAAGTTCAACGAGGGCGATCAACCTACACCATTTTTGGTGTGGGCGTTGTATACATCTGATTATCGATCAAAGCATGTATATGTACTGCACAGTAGTAGATTACTCCTTCCTTCTTTATGACTTTCAGATATATAGTTGACTGAAAATGGAAGACGTGAAAAGGTTAGCTATCTTTGATCGTACGTGTTTGCGTTCTATCTCCACTGTGTTAGGTGGTATAATAGGGTGAGTAATATTGAGGTTAGGTGTTGTGTGTGTTTAGCAAAGAGGGAAAATCAAGGTGAACCGGTTGAGGTGATAAGAGCATGTGTTACTCATGCCGAGCCACTGCCTACCTTGATGGGTAATAATGATAACTGACAGAGGATCAATCAGGTTGGAAAAGAGTTAGTGGTGGTGGTCAAAGCAAAACTTTGGATTATTCCATGATAACTTAGACAGTTGGTGTGATCTGAAAACGTACGGAGGTGTAAACCGCCTGTTTTGAGGTTCTTGGGATATTCAAAATAGATGGCTGGTGACTGTTGGAGATTTGGTTCAAAATTGTTCTTAGTAGCGCAGATGCATTCACTCTCTGTGATCTACCATATCGAAATAACTGTTGGTTCTACTTGTTACTATTCTCTCTCTCTCACGCGAATACACACATTTCCACCTATTGTGATTCTTCTGACTCTCTTATTTTGCTCTTGTTTGCTTTTGTGTGCTTAATGGAGTGTGGCAACTCGAACTGTTGTACTTCTGTGCAAAGTTTCATGCTGAAACTAGTTAATTTAGTAATCATTAAGATAGAGAAGCTGGAGCTATTCATACAAGATGAAACCATTCAACCACTTCTACCAACACAGTAGCAACCTGCGTCAGTGGCACAGTGGTTTGGACTCTTGCCGACCATGAACATGGTTCGGGGTCCGATTCCCTGCTGACGCACACCTGATATCTATGGTCGACCTGCAAAATTTGGGCTACCGATATCACATGCTGAAAATTCCTTACTTGTACCAAAAATACGGTGTGGAATCAAGCTGTAGTCAAAAAAATAATATTTTTATCATATGTGACAGAAAAGTATCCGCTATAACACTTTCATACAGGTATTATGCATTTTTTCCCCACATAAATATATGTATTCCATGCCCGAAACTGCCTCTTTCATGTGATTGATTCGTTGAAGGTCATTCGCTGATTAGTAGTTAGTGGTGCTTAAAGTTTAACTTTGCTGGGACTATTGCTGAGAGATGCACACTGAATGTCCAGTTTTTAATAGTTCATACATCAGTCTTGTGTTAGGGTCATATTTTTTTAATATATATATTGCATGGAGGATTTCATCATGAGCTGACATCAGTTAGAGAACCACTAGAAAACCTGGGAGTACTAGACAACTGTTTCGTCCTAGTTTGCGACTCTTCACCAGTATGCATCCACCGGGATTCGAACCCAGGTCCTTGAATTCTAACTTCTGCCAATTCACGACATAGCGCGAAGTTAGAATTCAAGGACCATCGGATCGGGTCCCAGTGGCTCAATGGTCTACGAGCTCGCCTTGTAACCAGAAGGCCCTGGGTTCGAATCCGGGTGGGTGCGTATAGCTGAAGAGTCTCAAACTAGGACGAAACAGATGTCCAGTACTCCCAGGTTTTCCAGTGGTTCTCTAACTGATGTCAGCTCATGATGAAATCCTCCATGCAATCAAACAAAATCCCCACAAAACCAATACTCGAATATATATATATATATCTGTTTTCTCAATTCTATTTTGTACAGCAATCGCTTTGTCGTTAAAGGAGACGACTGGCGCCGCTTCTACAGTCTCTCGTTCAAACAATCAACCAGTTACCAATAGCAGTAGTTATCAAATGAAAAGACAAGTTTATATCCAACACGTGCTCAACTTTCATTCAATACTACTACTGCTGGAGGTGCTGCTGCTGGATCCTCTTCAAGTTATTTAACATCACCCACTGCTCCAAAGACAGTGACACGTAATTCTAAAGGTTATGTAAAAGCTCTGTATGATTTTGAAGCAGCTGAAGACAATGAATTGACCTTTAAAGCTGGTGAATTAATCCTCCTTCTGGATGATTCTGACGAAAACTGGTGGCTTGGCAGTAATCATCGTGGTGAAGGTTTATTTCCAGCACAATTTGTAAAACAACTGTCAGACACAGATGATGAGAATGATAAGAAGACTAGTCAGTCAACTCACTCCAGTGAAGTAAATCATCAAAAATCAGCGAAAATTATGCCTCAACAGTTGGATGAACGAAAAATCGATGAATGCCTACGCTTGATTACAACTGTTGATCCAACAGGTGAATTTCTTCAAGATCCACCCGAGTTGAAACAACTTGAAGCAGAGTGTACAGCAATGCTACCACTTGTTGATCCCGAGTTAAAATTAATCGATAAAAAGATGATTATGCTTACTGAATTGAATCAACGTTTAGTGGATGCTTTCCAGTTGTATCATGATATTATGTCACATCAGAATGCTGCTACAAATGCCTATTATGCTAGTGCCAGTGCTAATGCTACTGCTGGTATGATGAAACCGCCGCCGGCGCCACCAGTAATGTATATGCCTAATTCTGCAAATATGTTTCCATATTCTTCACAACCTGTAGGAATACCGCCTAATTATGTGGTCAATTCTTCGAACACTCTTCCTATGGTATGTTTTCAATGAATAGTTCTGATGAAGTTGTTAGTTTTCGTGTGTGTGTATGTGTATGTGGTTACTTAACTAGACACAATGTTGAGTACTGCTCCTTAGTCACTAATCAATGTATCCTCTAATATATTTTGTACAGGCAGTTAGTAGTTACTAAGGAGTGACACGTGCGTCGGTGGCACAGCGGTAGAGTGCTCGCCAACCACGGATGTGGTCCGGGGTTCGATCCCCGGCCGACGCACTCCTATACCTCGGTAAGCCAGTAGTAAGACTGGTAAAGAGGAAAGACTGGGCATGAGGCTAGTAACCCCATCCTGTAAAAAGGAACACTGCTACGGAAACTTCAGGTTGGAGGCTTGAAGCCCTATGTTCCACTGGGAACATAAAAGGAATATAAAAAAAGGAGTGACACGAGTTCATAGTTCAAAGGTTAAATCAATTCCTTCGAAGTTGTAGATATACGCCTTGCTTATGTGAGTAGGCAGGAGCTCCAAAGCTAGATCAGATCAGACAAGCTTTCCTGCTGTGATATGATATCTCCTCCAATCATCGAACATCCATTCAAAGTGCATCATCGTGTTGACCATTAATCATTTACGCCAAATGATAACCACATTCATGAAAAATACCCATTTTTTTTGTTCAGCGAAGAAATTTCTTTTCAACGACTTCATTTTCAAGCTGTACAGTCGTATTATTTATATTACAGAAAAAGTTATTAAGTGGCACTAAATAATAATTGCTCAGTCAATATACATATATGTGATAAGAATAACGATAATTAAAATGTTATAAGGGGTAGAGTTGAAGTGGATGAATTACAAAATTATTAAAGATTGTTTTATAAGTGAATTGATATCAAAAATATTTTTTGAAAAAATGTCAAGCGTTGTCTAAAAATTTTAAAAATTAGGAGTACGATTACGATAAGAATAAAGATGTGAAGTGAAGTGGAATGAATTCATGTGGAAAAATAAAATAAAAACTAGAAAGAACATTACTATGACCAAGGTAAAGAAAGGGGTTTGACAAAACGTTTTTGAACACATAATTTAGGTTTCTGTTCATGTATAGCTAAAGCTTCGGCTATGCATCAAATGCCATAAACACTACATAGGTCAAAGTGTGCGTCCCCTTCGACTCAGAATCCAAGAACAAAAATTAGTTTTGAAAAGACACGATACATATTCCTGTTTCATATCGGTGCATGCAGATATGTACGGATATGTATTTGATAAGGATAATGTAGGAATTCTAAATAGACGAAACACCAAAAATACTACCAGGGAATTTCTAGAAGCCTGTTTAGTAATCAAGTGAATCAGCCAGCGATTAACAAACACATTACTGTAGACTAAATTTACCAGCTAATAAAAAGTAAATCCCATCATGACAAGAAAGTTGAAATTCCAAGTCAATAGAGACGCAAATTAACAAGCAGTCACGTCAGTGATTGCCAGGAGAATTTAAATGACTTCATCTTGTACTAAAGAGCTGCTCTGAAGATGCTGTCTAGATGAGAGACGACGAAAGCTTCGCAATTAAATCATCCAGCACCTCAGAGAACACAACTAAATCAAAACCATTATTCACTTGAGCTGTGCAAATCTTCTCGATTATTTTATTATATGTTTTATATTGTATGTATTTTTTTCTTCCAGAACGGATCAAATATGCCTACTGAATCGAATGGTGGTGGTACCATGATGATGCCTCCATCCGACACACAATCCATGGCAACTGGTATTTATGCAAATCCACAAACAGAAAATTATACTACTGCTGGTGGTGGTAATATGATACAGAATAATGTACCAGTTAATCCAGTCCCTCAACAATTCATGCTACAACGACCTCCTTATGGAATGAATCAGGCGGCAGCGGCATTACCTAATGTTGCTCCACAGCAAATGCCTTCCTATCCACCGTCGGTTGCGAATCCCTATGGAGGTAAGCACAGTCAATGTCTAGAATTGCTTTTCACTAATTCTATCTACAAATATTAATCAGATAGATATGACGCGCATTTTCATTTATGTGCCGATGGATACGTTACACATGCTTTTACGCGGAATCTCACGAGTCCCTAATTCCTTCACTGAGTTATATGTTTTATGAAGTGAGATAGTGTTGATAAAGAGGTAAGAATGTCGAGACTTAGACGTTCTGAATGTATATACTAGATGATTGGTAGCTATCTGCGGGAAGCCTTGGACGAAACCTAGGTTTCGTGCCAATTGGCATTCGTCAACCTTGAAGAAACTCATGTCCCTTCTTAGATTCGAACCCACGTCACCCAATGCTGCCTGAAGTCAGAGACTTTGCCACTGAGCTAGCTATTCGGACACGCGATTGATCTCCTCTGTAGGACTGTATTGGATACTCTGATCAAACAATAGCTAGTAACTAGTGAAATATGTCTAGTCTTTTGTTCAGTGGTGCAGACTGAATTCGATCAGTCAGTCAAGTTTGCAATGTGTGCACCATGCTAATTGGCTCGCTCTCATGATGCACTATCAATTATCGGCAGGAAACCCTACCCGACCTAGGTTTAGTGCAGGTTGGCATTCAGCAAGGCGTATCTGCAACCTTGTCTGTCTGTCTGTATTCGACATAGAACTTTGCACCGATGTGCGGCAGTTCAAGTCGCCACATTCCATGTATAGTACACAAAGCAAGAGAAGAAAGTAGGAGAAATGCATATTAGAGACAGTAAACAGAGATGTGAGACAAAGGAATAGTAATAACGAAAAACAAAAGTTTCATTGGAAATCATAAGTCACAAGGAGTGGATGCATCTGCACCAGCCACCGAGAACGACTTTGAGCCATATCACCGATTGTTTCCAGCCATTGGTTTCTACTGTCCCGAGGACCCCAACCAGGAAGTCTACACCTTCCCATGTGGCTTAAATTAACTGTTGTAGATTTTATTGACTGACGAAGCCATGCTTTGGTTTGACCGCCGCTAGCTCTTTTCCAGCCTGACCCTATGTCAGCTAACATTGCCCGTTGAGGAAGGCGATGGCTAGGCATACATAATACATGTCCTAACCATCTCAGTCGATGTAATTTCACAGTCTTTTCGACTGATTTCCCCTCCTTACCTAGCACTCGACGCCTAACCTCAATATTGCTCACCTTATTAAACCACTTCACACGGAAGATAGAATGCAGACACCTATGATCAAAGACAGCTAATCTTTTCATGTCTTCCACTCTCAATGGCCAGGTCTCATTCACAGATATAAAGGAGGAAGAAGCGGACTGCTGAGCAGTACATCTGCCCTATAGTCGGTAGCCGGATATCACGTTTGTGCCAGAGACGGCGTAAACTTCCATATGCGAAACTAGCCTTCTGTATTCGTGCTAAGATTTCGTCAGAGATCACCCAGTTAGGTCTGATGCAACTTCCCAAATAAGTGAAGTGGTCAACATGTCTACCAACCACTTCACTCCCTATTTCTAAACTAGGAGTCAATGTAGTCCAATCCAGTCCTGTAGCATCATCTCACATTTGGCGGGAGCGAATCGCATGCCAAACATTCGTAGATTGCAGCTCAAGGTGTTCAGAAGACTCTGCATTTTGTCAGCGTCTTCACCTAGGAGGGAGGACTATATCGTCTGCATATTCTAAGTCAACGAGATTATTCCCTAATGGTAACAAGTCAATCCCTGAGTCTCTGAAGTGAGTTAAGGATCTGCAACCTTGACGGTCATACTACTCAAACTGAACTGATAGAATTCAGTCTGCACCATCAAACAAAGGACTAGACACATTACACTAGTTACTAGCTACTGTACCACCAAAGTATATGTATATCTATATATGCTACGAATCAGTAGTTGTCGGCTTTTAGTGATATGTGTCAAAATCGTTCATACCGGTGGCTCACTGCATGTGATCTTCCATTCTCTGGAAATTCCTACTAGTCATTATGTAGTTATTCTTTTTTCCGAACATTTTCTTATTTTGAGCCATATCGCCAACAGTCTCTCCATCCATTAATTCTTAGCGTCTCGACGATTGCAGTCTTACGTACTTTATATCTTCCCATGTGGATGAATCCAACAGTCAGATACTTCATGGATGGATGGATGACACATTTCGGTCTGATCCCCCCTAACTCTTTTCAACCCAATCCAGTGTCATTATCTTTTTACTTACTTATTGCGACGGGAATGAAATGTTATTTTGGTATTGAGTTGAGCACATGCTGTTGTGTCAGTTCCATGGTCATGTCAGACGAGTCGTGGTGGTGTAGGTTACGGTGTTTCAGTCTTGATTTGATATGCCTACCGCGTTTTGAAGACTTTGTTAAATGGACATTCGGTATATGTGCCGTGCCATCTGTGGGATTAAAACTGAACGCTTCTCAATCTAGATCCCGTCTAAATGTGCAACGTATCCGATGCGAGATTGTGCTAGCTAATATATTCCTTTTGGTGTTATGTCAGATCAGTGGCTATAAAGGCTACTCTGGCTTTCGTTGGTTTAAGGGTCTACATTATATCTAATTGTAGTGTGAGCTATGGAGTACACTGAGGCGTCTGTAGACGACTTTTGAACATTTTTTTAAACCAAAAGCACCAATCAAGAATGGTTATCTCTCATGTACTCGGATAAGCTGCCATCCATCGAGGATAATAAGGCTTTTTCTCATGTTCTGTAGGAACTTGCGAATCAGCAGGTTGTAAGCGTTTTAAAATATTCGCCAGAGTAAACAACACTAGTAGAGGTCATATTTTACTGGATTTAAACACACTGAATAAGAGAAACTATATGCAGCATATTGTAATGGAGGTTTTCGGTAGCGCAAGTTTTAAACAGTCCGCCAAGATAATAGAAAAGAGATTCTTTTCAACTAATCACACTGTGGGGCTACTAATCCTATCCCCACTTGCTGATATAGAGTGTAGAACGATGGGAGTATATATATATATATATATATATATATATATATATATAGTATGTGACGGACAAACAGCAATCAAATATCCTAATTTAGGAAAACTTTGTTATATTCAGAAAGCAGAAAGATTGAGCGAAGAAATATTTACTTTTCAATTAGATCCTCATCTCTGGCTCTACTCTAAAATATATACATGGCATTTTTATTACAATACACAACAGTTTACCAAACAAGTGGTGATATGTTTGTTAACAATAATTAAACAGTGTCAAAATGTCAATGGGTTGATAATTAACGAAGAAAATCAATACACACAATTAAAAGGTAGAAATGGTTAGAATAAATTAATTTTACAAGGATAACACGTAATTAAAGATGAAGTGGTCAGAAAAATAAAATAATTTGGACAATTATAATTTTTAAAGGTTTAGGGGGAGGGGTCGAATTAGTCCGGTTAATACATTCATGTAACTATGGCCAAGGTAAGGAAAGTGGCTATACAAATTTCTTCTGAACACACAGGTTTGGCTTCTTCAGGTGGATTCCGATTGCTTCAGCTGTTGTATGTAGAAGACGAACTCGTAGAGCAAAATTAAGATTAGTAAGAATGCGATAGATAATTTTAAATGCAGTATTAACATCAACCTTATGCTCACTATCTACAAGGTGTGCTAAAATAGAGCTACGAATAGATCTTGTTTGTCCCTTGCTTAACCACTATGCAGGATGATGTTCTGAAATACGATGATGAACCTGCCTAATTGTAAGCCCAATATAGCTGGCTCCGCAGCTGCAGTCAAACTGGTAGATACACATAAAGGAGGCAAATTTAGGTAGTTTATCCTTATTTCTCAAACGTAGAATAGGGGTGGTTGTGAAGAGACAACGTACCTCTGCTGCATAATAAGCTCTTTTAACTGCACTCTCCAGGCACTGTATTATTATTTCGCTTATGTTGTCACTGAGGCACTGCAGTTTTATGAAAATTGGTTTTTTCGGAACTGTTGCCATACTGACTCTCCTAGGTGCTGAATTCATATTTTTCTCAATGAATTCATCTGGATAACCATTTTTTCTAAGTAATTCTCTAATAATCAATTTAAGCTCCTCATTGAGGCAGTCGTCTGAACAGATTAACCTAGCTCCCTATGAACTAGACACTTTACGAGGTTACGCCTTTATATTTCAAAGGTACAAAACTCCAAAAAAAATGAGTCTACTGACCTGTTGTTGTAGGTTTCCTATACACACTCCTTCTTAGTGTGTACCATCTTCTTTCCTTGCCATGAAGATGTCTAGGAATGAGATACTGTCATTAACTTCTTTCTCTATGGTAAAGTTTATTGCTGAATGTGTGCATCATTAAACTCTTGTCAAGGATGTTCATTGCATCATTCTCGTCTTTCATAACCAGAAATGTATCATCCATATATATACATAGACAGTAGAAATCCAAGTCATTAATTAATCGTTATATTCAACTGTTTATTGTTATAAGGTAGGTATATTCTATTCATCAAATAAAATAAATCAGTTTAGATAATTCCAATTTAAAAAAAGTATTTCTGTTGATAATACTCACTTGAAATGATTTGTGTGTGGTATTCTTATGTTATAGTATCTACTTTATTTCCGAAGTGATTTTCATGAATTATCATATTCTCCTGCTATTCTCTCCTTTCATTTACTACTGTAGTTCCATCATTCCATCCGATGACTGAACCGCCGAACACTATGACCTATCCAGATCAGCATCAAGGTATCCAGGCACAACAGCAATTCCAACAACAACACCAACAACAGTTTCAGCAGCAGCCACAACAGCAACAACAACAGATCTAGAACTCAAGTACAGACAGTTGTAAGTTGTACAGTAGTTTGTTCCATCTGTTTTTCTCGGTACTTAATCTATGTCACCAGTTTGTTTTTGATAGCCTCGACAGTTGATATTGTAAAGACAGAAGACAAGGGCCAGGCAGTAGATTGTTTATTGAGGAAATCAAGAGGTATTTATAGATTTTTATGTACATTAGTATTAGCAGAGAAGCAACCTCTTCTTATTGGTTTTCTTGCTGAAGGTCATTCTGTTATTGGTTTGTGGCCGTTTCTCAAAAAATCAAGTTATATATCTGCGAATCCTATTTGCATACGATAACTCCTCTGTGATTGGCTGGTAATTTTCTCAAGGTTCAGCTTTGTTGTTGTTTTTGTCATGACCGTGATTCGAGACGTGAACATTGACGTAAATTGTTGTCTACAATTTCGGCTTGTTCGCAGACAGCTCTCACCACAATATGACTAATGGGTATAATAATACTGCCCTATCTATGACTGTTTGGATACAGTTTTTATTGGGAAAACCACATCATATAAACATATAAATTCTCTGACCACATTAAAACCAGCCCAGGGCAGTGGAAAATAGATTGTTCTGATTGGTAGGCTACTCGGCTAGGTCAGGGAAGAAGAGATATTCTGATTGGTTGACGATTTGACCAAGACCAAGGTGAGGAAAAAAGATGATGGAATTTTACAATCATCCGATCACACGATGAATCATAAGATGATTACTATTTTGAAGCCGATTCCCATCATTCTCTCTCTCTCCCTCTTTCTTAACCGCTATTGATTTGCTGAGAAATTAGATAATTGTTGAACATTAAACTGTCATGGTGACGGGTAATGGCAAAGGGTGGAGTAGCATTGCATATTCTAACAACTACACGTGCTCGTTATTGGACTTTAGACAATCAACCCCATATATTTTATCCACAGGGTCCGATTTAACAGCTTGGCTATACAAACCTTAGTAGATGGAACTGTGTTTGATCCCTATATAATAAGGAGAGTGACTGATGTAATAAGCCACAGAGAATTTCTGCCCTAATTGATGATTAGTTAATGTGCTTTTTATGAAACTTAACTGTGATCAAATTACACGAGTGTACTTATGGAAACGTTGGGTGGTTATTAATTCTCGGCCCCTCACAAAGTGGTTGTTAATTTCGACATGAAATACTTGTGCGTTGTGTGATCACAGAGCCCAAGTGGCAACTGTTGAAGCGGTTGTTTAAAGCGGTTTTAGAGTTGTGTGCCTGTACGATGATTTTATTGCCGACTAATGGGCCGACATAATTTAAGTCAGATGGGAGTCGACATTTTGTAAGCCCGGTACCTCCTCCCGAAAACAAAGAGTATAATTATTAATTAAGTTTCAAAGCTTCTCTTATATGCCTCACTTCCTATCTTAGATTTCCCTAGGTACTATTTAGCTTTTGGGCCTTATTACTTGAATATTTCACCATTCTTATTTTTACTGACACAGGGTTGGATGATCGGAATTACTCTGATAAATTATTCAGGAATTATGTAAGAAAATGTAAAAGTAAAATAAATAATAATGGTAGTGATAGATAAAGTGATAATAATAATATTAATGACGACATGCACAGGATACTGACAACACCAACAATTGGGGATATTCAAGTGTTGGTTTGTAGGGATTTGATTGGTTACAGGATTTCATCATGAGCTGACATCAGTTAGAGAACCATTGGAAAGCCTTAGAGTACTGGACAGCTGTTTCGTCCTAGTTTAGGACTCTTCATCAGTACGCACCCACCGGGATTCGAACCCAGGACCTTCTGGTTACAAAGCGAGCTCGTATACCATTAAGCCACTGGGACCCGATCCAATGGCTAATGAATTCTAACTTCTGCCAATTCATTCATGCATTCGAAGATTGCTGCTCAGCTCAAGGTGTTCAGAAGACTCTGCATTTTGACAGCGTCTTCACCTAGAAGGACTATGTTATCTGCATATTCCAAGTCAACGAGATTATTCCCTGGTAGCAAGTCAATCCCTGAGTCGCTGAAGTGAGTTAGGGTTAATTCCATTAGTACATCTATGATGAAATTGAATAGAAATGAGGATAGTGGGCATCCCTGACGGACACCACTAGTCGTCATCACTTCAAATGACAACTCACCGTAAGCCCTCATCTGGCTGCATGAGTTTGATTAGAGTACCTTGATCAGTGGAGTGTATTTTATCGGCATTCTCTTTACAGCCAAGCATCGCCAGAGTACTTCTCAGTCGACAGAATCGAATGCCGCTTTTAGGTCAAGAAATAAAATGATTGTTGGACACCGGTGAGAATGCCTATGTTCTAGAATCTGTCGATCAATACACCTTCTTCCTGGTCTAAATCCTGCCTGGCTCTCTCTTGTTTGTGCCTCGCGAGCACCTCTTAGTTTACGCAATATTGTTGAGCCTAGGACTTTAGATACTGTACTAGTCAAGCTAATCCCTCTGTGATTATCACAGGAAGACTTGTATATCTAGATAATAAGACCCGAATATAATAAGAAATCTGGAATATAGGTGAGCAGCTATAGCACTCACTACATGCAATTGCACACAACCATACAATACGATGCGATAGGATAAGATGACAGTTTCAAAAGCTAATGTAATAATAATAATAATTTGCTTTATTCCAAAACAGTACTTGTGATACAGAATGGAATTCTCAGCATTTTTACTACAGTATTGCATCCAGTTAGTACATTACCAATAAATAGAATTCTGCATAGATTAAGGAAATCTCAGTTCATTATGACAACAACATATTAGCATGTCGGTAGCGAAGCCAAAGTTGAACAGTGTTTGAAGGTGTTAGAAATGTAAGTGGTATCATATTTACTGGCCTATGTGGAAGAAAGAAACAAAGCAGCACGTAACGGAAAGAAAAGAGAGAGAGAAGGAAAAGAAAGAAAGAAAATGTTGTACCTATAATTGATATGAGTTGGAAAGATGAGGTCCAGTTGTACTACTGGCTATTTAATGAATGACAGGTGTCACGCCTAGTGCTTTCTTTATCGCACAGAACACGAGCTAAGTAGGGTATGGTTGAGTTTTTGTACTTCCTGGTGCGAGCACATAGTTTTCTATATAGGCTTCTGGTCTTGCCTCATGAGATGCAAGGGGAGAGTTGTGAGTGAAGAGGGTGGTGTGAGTTAGATAGAATGGATTTAGCCCATTTTTCACTTGAGTCCAAATGTCTATCGATCAGAATATTAACAAGCTGGTTAAGTGGCACATTGATTATCCTGCTGACAACCTTTAACATCCTGCGCAATATGTTATAGTCTTTCTTCAGTAGCCCGGAAAAAAATAATAGGGGGGTGAACAATAGAGAATAATAGGCAGAATGCGAGAGTTAACGAATTGTAGGAGTAAGGGTTGGGTTGGGTTATACCAGAATGTTTTAACTTCTTAATGTAAATGGTGAGACGGAATATTTTCTTAGAAATCGCCAAGATATGAGACGACCAGGAGAGATCAGCAGATAGAATGACACCTAGGTATTTAATTTCCGACTTGGTTTCTATTTCAGTGCCATCTATGTTGCATACCTCGTGAGAGCCAACCAGTTTGTTTAGGTCGGATTTATGTCTCAAGGTGAAATTGACTGTTTGGCATTTGGAGGGGTTTAAGGTAAGACCGTTTTCCTTGGACCACTGGCTGATTTCTGACAGAAAGCCATTAAGTTTAGAGCAGTCACTTTGACATTTGACAGGCAAAGATACTGTCTGGCCGTCAGCATACTTGACAAAATTAGTGTCATTTGAAGATGGTAAGTCATGTAGAAAGAAAGAAAAGAGAGGTGGGGAGAGTACAGCACCTTGGGGGACACCAGCTTCAGTGAGCGCAGCAGAAGAGGATTTACCTTTGTATATGGTGTGCTGCTTTCTGTTAGAGAAGTACGAGTGCAGCCAGTTAGTGACCCAGGACTCAATTTTTGTCATAGAGAGCTTATGTAGCAAGAGACATCTAGTTACAGAGTCGAAAGCAGAAGTGAAATCGAGAAACGTGCAGCGGACATATTTGGCACCTTTATCTAATGATGAGACTATACCGTTGTGTAAGACGGCTGCAGCGTCTAAAGTGCTCCTACCCTGTCTATAGGCAAATTGTTTGGGGTCTTCAAAGTTTTTAAGGGAGAGGTTCAAGTTTAAGAAGTACTCGTTTTTCCATAAGAGACAGGGACAATTTTAATGTCTTTCCATGCATCATCAGGTACGACATTTTTGGAGAAAGAAGCATTTAGGATGTTAGTTAGTGCAGAACATAAAGCATCTGCACATTGTTTTAGAACATATGCTGGTATACCATCAGGGCCAAGGCTACGTGAGGGCTTGAGCGTTTTAAAACATTTTAGAACATCGACAGCATTAAAGTCATGAAAGTTTTCAGCTACATGATTGGTAACATTAGAAGTAGTTATAGTAAAAGGACAGCGTATAAAAGACTGATTAAGAGCATTAACATCATAAGAGGGAAAAGCATTACAACGCTTACTATTGCCAGTAATTTCATTAAAAAGTTTCCACATGCTGATAGGAGATTTGCATGATAAAAGTGTATCATTGTATATTTCAGATTTAACTTGAGCATTAATCTTTTTGAGTCCTAACTTGTCTTTGGATTTGTATAATGTTTCTTTTTGCCTGAGAAGTTGTTTGAGATAAGGAGATGAGAAGCGGTCGAGGCGTTTGAATAGTGTTTGTTTGGGACAGCATATATCAAGGCAGAACTTAAGATAATCCGCCGTTATATTGACAATTGTGTCATCTAATGAACTTTCGTGGAATAAATCCCAGTTAGTATTTTTTAACATGCACCTTAGATTGAGTAAGTTGTCAGATGAGTAGCATCTTTGTTGTGCTTTCATAGACAGGTGTGAGAAGACTTTAATATGTGTTTTGCTGTATATTTTTGGTAAAACACGAACAATAGAGTGATCAGAATTAAGTATTGGTGCACGTTTACGTGTTTCATACATTCCTTCGTCATTTGTGAAAACTAAATCAAGTGTTTTGTCAAGTCGAGTGGGAAATTTGACTATGTTTGAGTGACCAAGTGCTTCAAGAAAAGAGCAATTTGACAAGTTGAAGTGCCCAGTAATAACAGATCGAGAGAGTTGTCGAAGTTGGCAGCGGCAAACATGATGAATTCATCAGCAAAATTTGAAAGATTAGATAGTGAGCAACTTGGAGAAATGTACATGTTAGTAACAAAGATGTGTTTATATTTGGGGAGATGTTTGGGACGACATTTGACGGTGATACAGTCTATGAAGTCATTTGAGAATGAGAAGCAAACATTATTAGAAATAGACCATTTGGAGTGAATTAAAGTGGCAACGCCGCCCCCATTTTTCTTATTACAACATTGTCGGTCTTGTCTAAATAAGATGAAGTCCTTTAGTGAGATGAGATTGCCATCATACAGTTCATGTAACCATGTTTCTTGTAATGTGATTATCGCAGTATTATGATAAGTGTCAGTGGACATCAAGGATTGTAGGTACATTATGTTGTTAGGATGAGAGCGGCAGTTAGTGTTCATTATGACAGGGACCGTAGTTAGGTGTAAGTGTATTGGTGTACGTTTAAGAGCTCTCTGCCAACCACTACGATGCTTCCTCCTTGATTTCGTGGGAATATGAAAGTCATTGGGTCGGTCGTAAATGATTAATAAAGTTACGAGAGTAAGTGATCCTGTTAGAATTCATATTTAGGTGATAATGAGAACACGGCTTTTGTAGATTCAACTTCCTCCACATTCATAAAACGATAATGATATGTAGTCACATGATGTCTGCCTTTGATTTGACAGTCTGATATATTTTGCTGTATATGTTTATTGATCGATATTCCATGATAACTCACAACATGCTTTGTCTGTCCATTAGCTTAGCTGAATAAACAATGTATGACCTTTTTGTCACATGACATTACAACCAATCAGAATCCAATGAGGGTAAGAAAAACTACTACTGTCTCTCTTATTGGTTCATGTATGTATTAGTCATTTTCATATATACTCTTGCATTGTACACTTTTTCACTCTCTTTTCATACATTTCGTACTGTTTGGTACTTTCACTCACGCGCTTTGTGTGACAGTTATTTCCCTTGTGGAAAATACACATATCTCCGTGAACGTGCTGGTCTTCTGCCTTTCCTCTTCTTCACGTCAAGACAAATTATCTACTCACTCAGCAATACCAGTCTGTACGTTATCGTCCGTTATTTCACACATTAGCGAATATTTACACTCGGTCACTATGATATCGGCGACGACCCCATAACTTATTAACGACGAGTACATAACATTTATTGGCAACGGGGATGGGATGATATACACGAAAGAAAGATACCTCAAACGTGACTAAGTTGTACAAGAAATATTTACACATATTCAGCTCTGAATTACTACTATTGATAATAGCAAAAAACATTTTAGTGGGATTGTAATGTGTTCAGTGTTGCTAACTGATAAAGGTTAAGTTGTTGGCCGTACATTTCCACATATGTCGCCACCATACTTGGTGTTTTATTGAACAAACACTCAGCGAGCGCCTCATAATCGAGGCCCAGTTCAAGGACGTAGTATGAGAGCATTTGAATATCCACCGGGTTCCAATTAGGATCTATTGGCACTTCAGGAGGTTTGAAAGCTCAAATACCGTCAAGTACTTTCTTCTCCTTTTCAACAAGTTCTTTAATTTGCTCCTCCAATGGATTGGATAAATCAAGTAATGTAGCATTCAATTCGTTCATCTCTTTAGTGCACTCTTCTGGGGTAGAATTACACATACGCAGAAATTCCTTATGTGAATAATAAACTCCAGGAGGTAATCTCGTTCTTGAATCATAAGGCGCCCTTCTAGACAGAATTCCTCTGCGAGAACTACGTCTAATGGGACCTACAAAAACATATCTTCTTTCATCCTTCTTTGCTCCATTTGATTGAATACTACAAGAAGCTGTTGCAGCAGCCGCCGCCGCGGCAGCTATTTCCTCTTCGAAGCGTGCATGTCTACGTACAGACAGACGATTGGATGCATTTGTGAATCACAAGTAGGTAAATTTAGAGAAGATTGAGATAACACAGGAGTTGTATTGGCTGAACCCCGACCTTTACCACAGGGTCTCTGACGATTACGACTAGGATTTACAGAATCTTTTCTTGAATTATTTCGCATATCACCACCTTGTTGTTGTTGTTCTACATTCTCCGAATTGGCTAATAAATATGGTGTATATACTTGTGCCTCGGAGTCTGACTCAGTGCTTAAGGCACTGTTTTCTGTATCACAATCTGACTCATCAGACTCTACGTACAGACAGGCGATCCACTTGGCGCTGAAATAAAGCGACATTTGCATATGATGGTACATCGACTAGTTGAAGAGTCCATGTACCATCATATGCAAATGTCGCTTTATTTCAGCGCCAAGTGGATCGCCTGTCTGTACGTAGAGTCTGATGAGTCAGATTGTGATACAGAAAACAGTGCCTTAAGCACTGAGTCAGACTCCGAGGCACAAGTATATACACCATATTTATTAGTCAATTCGGAGAATGTAGAACAACAACAACAAGGTGGTGATATGCGAAATAATTCAAGAAAAGATTCTGTAAATCCTAGTCGTAATCGTCAGAGACCCTGTGGTAAAGGTCGGGGTTCAGCCAATACAACTCCTGTGTTATCTCAATCTTCTCTAAATTTACCTACTTGTGATTCACAAATGCATCCAATCGTCTGTCTGTACGTAGACATGCACGCTTCGAAGAGGAAATAGCTGCCGCGGCGGCGGCTGCTGCAACAGCTTCTTGTAGTATTCAATCAAATGGAGCAAAGAAGGATGAAAGAAGATATGTTTTTGTAGGTCCCATTAGACGTAGTTCTCGCAGAGGAATTCTGTCTAGAAGGGCGCCTTATGATTCAAGAACGAGATTACCTCCTGGAGTTTATTATTCACATAAGGAATTTCTGCGTATGTGTAATTCTACCCCAGAAGAGTGCACTAAAGAGATGAACGAATTGAATGCTACATTACTTGATTTATCCAATCCATTGGAGGAGCAAATTAAAGAACTTGTTGAAAAGGAGAAGAAAGTACTTGACGGTATTTGAGCTTTCAAACCTCCTGAAGTGCCAATAGATCCTAATTGGAACCCGGTGGATATTCAAATGCTCTCATACTACGTCCTTGAACTGGGCCTCGATTATGAGGCGCTCGCTGAGTGTTTGTTCAATAAAACACCAAGTATGGTGGCGACATATGTGGAAATGTACGGCCAACAACTTAACCTTTATCAGTTAGCAACACTGAACACATTACAATCCCACTAAAATGTTTTTTGCTATTATCAATAGTAGTAATTCAGAGCTGAATATGTGTAAATATTTCTTGTACAACTTAGTCACGTTTGAGGTATCTTTCTTTCGTGTATATCATCCCATCCCCGTTGCCAATAAATGTTATGTACTCGTCGTTAATAAGTTATGGGGTCGTCGCCGATATTATAGTGACCGAGTGTAAATATTCGCTAATGTGTGAAATAACGGACGATAACGTACAGACTGGTATTGCTGAGTGAGTAGATAATTTGTCTTGACGTGAAGAAGAGGAAAGGCAGAAGACCAGCACGTTCACGGAGATATGTGTATTTTCCACAAGGGAAATAACTGTCACACAAAGCGCGTGAGTGAAAGTACCAAACAGTACGAAATGTATGAAAAGAGAGTGAAAGAGTGTACAATGCAAGAGTATATATGAAAATGACTAATACACATACATGAACCAATAAGAGAGACAGTAGTAGTTTTTCTTACCCTCATTGGATTCTGATTGGTTGTAATGTCATGTGACAAAAAGGTCATACATTGTTTATTCAGCTAAGCTAATGGACAGACAAAGCATGTTGTGAGTTATCATGGAATATCGATCAATACACATATACAGCAAAATATATCAGACTGTCAAATCAAAGGCAGACATCATGTGACTACATATCATTATCGTTTTATGAATGCGGAGGAAGTTGAATCTACAAAAGCCGTGTTCTCATTATCACCTAAATATGAATTCTAACAGGATCACTTACTCTCGTAACTTTATTAATCATTTACGACCGACCAATGACTTTCATATTCCCACGAAATCAAGGAGGAAGCATCGTAGTGGTTGGCAGAGAGCTCTTAAACGTACACCAATACACTTACACCTAACTACGGTCCCTGTCATAATGAACACTAACTGCCGCTCTCATCCTAACAACATAATGTACCTACAATCCTTGATGTCCACTGACACCTATCACAATACTGCGATAATCACATTACAAGAAACATGGTTACATGAACTGTATGATGGCAATCTCATCTCACTAAAGGACTTCATCTTATTTAGACAAGACCGACAATGTTGTAATAAGAAATATGGGGGCGGCGTTGCCACTTTTATTCACTCCAAATGGTCTATTTCTAATAATGTTTGCTTCTCATTCTCAAATGACTTCATAGACTGTATCACCGTCAAATGTCGTCCCAAACATTCCCAATATAAACACATCTTTGTTACTAACATGTACATTTCTCCAAGTTGCTCACTATCTAATGTTTCAAATTTTGCTGATGAATTCATCATGTTTGCCGCTGCCAACTTCGACAACTCTCTCTATCTGTTATTACTGGGGACTTCAACTTGTCAGATTGCTCTTTTCTTGAAGCACTTGGTCACTCAAACATAGTCAAATTTCCCACTCGACTTGACAAAACACTTGATTTAGTTTTCACAAATGACGAAGGAATGTATGAAACACGTAAACGTGCACCAATACTTAACTCTGATCACTCTATTGTTCGTGTTTTACCAAAAATATACAGCAAAACACATATTAAAGTCTTCTCACATCTGTCTATGAAAGCACAACAAAGATGCTACTCATCTGACAACTTACTCAATCTAAGGTGCATGTTAAAAAATACTAACTGGGATTTATTCCACGAAAGTTCATTAGATGACACAATTGTCAATATAACGGCGGATTATCTTAAGTTCTGCCTTGATATATGCTGTCCCAAACAAACACTATTCAAACGCCTCGACCGCTTCTCATCTCCTTATCTCAAACAACTTCGCAGGCAAAAAGAAACATTATACAAATCCAAAGACAAGTTAGGACTCAAAAAGATTAATGCTATCTACAATGATACACTTTTATCATGCAAATCTCCTATCAGCATGTGGAAACTTTTTAATGAAATTACTGGCAATAGTAAGCGTTGTAATGCTTTTCCCTCTTATGATGGTAATGCTCTTAATCAGTCTTTTATACGCTGTCCTTCTACTATAACTACTTCTAATGTTACCAATCATGTAGCTGAAAACTTTCATGACTTTAATGCTGTCGATGTTCTAAAATGTCTTAAAACGCTCAAGCCCTCACGTAGCCTTGGCCCTGATGGTATACCTGCATATGTTCTAAAACAATGTGCAGATGCTTTATGTTCTGCACTAACTAACATCCTAAATGCTTCTTTCTCCAAAAATGTCGTACCTGATGATGCATGGAAAGACATTAAAATTGTCCCTGTCCCTTATGGAAAAACTAGTACTTCTTAAACTTGAACCCTCCCTTAAAAACTTTGAAGACCCCAAACAATTTGCCTATAGACAGGGGGTAGGAGCACTTTAGACGCTGCAGCCGTCTTACACAACGGTATAGTCTCATCATTAGATAAAGGTGCCAAATACGTCCGCTGCACGTTTCTCGACTTCACTTCTGCTTTCGACTCTGTAACTAGATGTCTCTTGCTAAATAAGCTCTCTATGACAAAAATTGAGTCCTGGGTCACTAACTGGCTGCACTCGTACTTCTCTAACAGAAAGCAGTACACCGTATACAAAGGTAAATCCTCCTCTGCTGCGCTCACTGAAGCTGGTGTCCCCCAAGGTGCTGTACTCTCCCCACCTCTCTTTTCTTTCTTTCTACATGACTTACCATCTTCAAATGACATTAATTTTGTCAAATATGCTGACGACCTGACTGTATCTTTGCCTGTCAAATGTCAAAGTGACTGCTCTAAACTTAATGGCTTTCTGTCAGAAATCAGCCAGTGGTCCAAGGAAAACGGTCTTACCTTAAACCCCTCCAAATGCCAAACAGTCAATTTCACCTTGAGACATAAATCCGACCTAAACAAACTGGTTGGCTCTCACGAGGTATGCAACATAGATGGCACTGAAATAGAAACCAAGTCGGAAATTAAATACCTAGGTGTCATTCTATCTGCTGATCTCTCCTGGTCGTCTCATATCTTGGCGATTTCTAAGAAAATATTCCGTCTTACCTTCTACATCAAGAAGTTAAAACATTCTGGTATTACCCAACCCTTACTCCTACAATTCGTTAACTCTCGCATTCTGCCTATTATTCTCTATTGTTCCCCCTTAGTTTTTCCCGGGCTACTGAAGAAGGACTATAACATATTACGCAGGATGTTAAAGGTTGTCAGCAGGATAATCAATGTGCCACTTAACCAGCTTGTTAATATTCTGGTCGACAGGCACATGGACTCATGTGAAAAATGGGCTAAATCCATTCTATCTAACTCACACCACCCTCTTCACTCACAACTCTCCCCTTGCATCTCATCAGGGAAGACCAGAAGCCTATATAGAAAACTATATGCTCGCACCAGCAAGTACAAAAACTCAACCATACCCTACTTAGCTCGTGTTCTGTGTGATAAAGAAAGCATTAGGCGTGACACCTATAATTCATTAAATAGTCAGTAGTACAACTGGACCCCGTCTTTCCAACTCATATCATTTATAGGTACAACATTTTCTTTCTTTCTTTTCCTTTTCTCTCTCTCTCTTTTTTTTCCGTTATGTGCTGCTTTGTTTCTTTCTCTCGCTTACGCCAGTAAATATGATAGCACTTACATTTCTAACACCTTCAAACACTGTTCAACTTTGGCTTTGCTACCGACATGCCAATATGTTGTTGTCATAATGAACTGAGATTTCCTTAATCTATGTAGAATTCTATTTATTGATAATGTACTAACTGGATGCAATACTGTAGTAAAAATGCTGAGAATTCCATTCTGTATCACAAGTACTGTTTTGGAATAAAGCAAATTATTTTTCTTATGTGATAATGGCAGGTCCAAAATTCGAAGAGGCCGCCACGTGGGAGCTCAGCAGGGTGGAGGGAGATATTGATAACGGAAGCTTTATTAATCAAATCTCCTGCAAATAGGTGTAATAGGAATGATTCAACACTTGTCTAGCCAGACATCTGGAAAATTCTCCTACCCCCACCTACGACGACGCATAAGAAAGAATAAAGAAAACTGTAAAACTCAAGTTTCGAAGTCGTGTGATTATAATTGATGAAATGATCATGAACAATAAATTTTATTCGAAACGTCATTCACTAAATAATAATACTGTTTGAGTGACTGTGTGATATGTCTAATAAACAAACTAATATGGAAGTACATACTACCACACCACAGTGCCCAAGTTTGATACATTTATCAAAGATAAAGTACTCAGATGAAATAAAATAATTTAGACAATTATAATTTTTAAAAGTTGTAGAAGGAGGGCGAAGTAGTCTGGTGTATACATTCATGTTAAGATGGCCAAGATGAAAATAGTAGTGGCTGTAGGAATTTCTTCTGAACACACACACACACACAGGCTTGTCTTGTTCTTCAGGTGGATTCCGATGGCTTTAGCTGTTTGTAGAAGATGAACTCGTAGAGTAAAATTAAGCTTAGTAGGAATGCGGTAAATAACTTTAAGTTCTCACTGTCTACAAGGTGTGCTAAAATAGAGCTACGAATAGATCTTGTTTGTCCCTTGCCGTTTTAACCATGCAGGATGATTTTCGGAAATACGATGATGAGCCTGCCTAATTGTACGCCCAATTTAGCTGCAGTCAAACTGGTAGATACACACAGAGGAATTGAAATTAGGAGGTAGTTTGTCCTTATCTCTCGAAAGTAAAGTAGGATTGGTAGTGAAGGGACGAAATATCTCTGCTGCATTGGAAACTCTTATAACTTCACTCTTCAGGCGCTGTGTTACTATTTCGCTGATGTCATCACCGAGGAACTGCAGTTTTATGAACAATGGGTTTTTTTGGAGCTGTTGCCTTCCTGGCTTGTTTCGGTGCTAAATTCGTATTTTTCTCAATTGAACTTATTTGGATAACCATTTTTACTAAGCCATTTTCTGATAATCTTAAGCTCCTCATTGAAGGAATCGTTTTTGAATAGATATTCCTAGCTCTATGAAGCGGACACTTTGCCACGTTACGTTTATATTTCAAACGTGCGAAACTCAAGGACTGAGTGTGCTGACCTGTTGTTGTAGGTTTCCCTATAGACGCTGCTTCTTAGTGTTGCTTCGTTTTTCCCTATTTTGAAGTAGTCTAGGAATGAGATAGTATCAATTCTTTCTTTTTTTCTCTATGGTGAATTTTATTGCGTAATGTGTGTTATTGAGAATTTTCACTGCTTTATTCTCGTTCTTCATAACGAGAAATGTATCATCCATATATCGACAGTACAGTTCCAACTCATTAATTACTCCTTCCAGCAGTCTATTCTCTAACTTGGTGAGGAAAATATCAGCTAGGATTGGAGTTTGTGTGGATCCCATAGCCAGACCATCAGTTTGTCTGTAAAAATTCCTTATTGAATAAGAAATGAACACATTCACTGTACATCTTGAAGATATGTTCCTGGTTCATGGAGGATACGAAAATCTCCATGTCTTATACTGTAAATTTGGTGTATCTTGCTCAATCGGTGGAGATTTGGTCCCCTCGACTTCTAAGCAGTGGGTCCTGAGTTAGAGTCCCGCCCTATTTGCTTTAACTGTGTGCTCCAGGAAAATATATATGAGAAATTAATGTGGATTGGTATGTGCAAACTAGACACTGTTCATATATATAAATACGAGTGCACAGTTATTAGATTGGTATATTAATAATAATAATTTGCTTCATTCTATAAAACAGGATTTATGATACTGTATGGAATTTTCAGCATTTGATACACTAGTGCATCTAATTTTATCGAATAATTTTAAAAAACAATTATAAATATAATAGTACAGCAATGTTAGTGACAGTTTTTATTTGATTTTATTGGTGGCAGAAGTTATATATATACCAAAAAAATAGTAAATAATAATACTAATGTTAGTAGCCAAGATTGTCAATTAATTGGAGTTGACAAATACCATTCGCATGTTAACAACTCCAACTGTATATACAAATTTACGTGGATCTGCAGGAGCAGTTACTTTGGAAGAACAGAAAGAAGGGTATACCTTCGATTTTCTGAACATGTACCAAAAACAAAACGATATTGTTTTTACTGACGTTTCGCTATTCAGTGCTGCTGCTAATAGCTTTATCAAAGTATTATTAAGCCGGAATTTACAAAATCTCAGCATATATATAACAAACAGTTAGGGGATGAGAAAATAGACATAGGTCAAGTCAAAGGGACATATTGAAAGTCAAAATAACAATGAAGATCACTAAACCAAATAACAAAGGTAAAAGTATGTCTGTTATGATATCAAAACAAAGTTTACTAACTTGATCATCGTTCATCTGTCTGGGGGCATTTTTAGTTGTTAAGTTGATGAATTGGTAAAGATAACAAAACCATCATGTGTAGATTGTTGGATTTGATCAGTGTGTAAAATTATAAAAGCAGCGTGTGTTTACATAATGAAAGTGCTCATCACATTCGTGTTGATTTTGTCACTTCATGTGGGAGGGGGGTGTTGTAACCAGGTCAGATTCTGTTTTAGTCCATCATTCCTATTCAGGCAATTTTGATTCCACTTGATATGAAGTGCTTCTAATATCAGAAGCACTTTCATTATGTAAACACACGCTGCTTTTAATCAAATCCAACAATCTACACATGATGGTTTTGTTGTCTTTACCAATTCACCAACTTGACAACTAAAAATGCCCCCAGACAGATGAACGATGATCAAGTTAGTAAACTTTATTTTGATATCATGACAGACATACTTTTACCTTTGTTATTTGGTTTAGTGATCTTCATTGTTATTTTGACTTTCAATATGTCCCTTTGACTTGACCTATGTCTATTTTCTCACCCCCTAACTGTTTGTTATATATATGCTGAGATTTT